TGGACTAGATGACCCTGGAGGTCCCTTCCCACTCTGTGATTCTGTGATTCTAAAGCAAACTCGTATGAGGGAAACGGAGGCTCTGCCTGTGCTCCGCCTCACAGCTTCTCAAACTACTGAGCAGGAGGAGATAACATTCCTCTTCCTAATTCCGTAGGTTGATAGAGTTGCCAACTCCAGTTTGAGAAATTCCTGGATATTTGGGCATGGTGCCTTGGAAGTCAGGGTTTGGGGAGAGGAGAGATGCCATGGAGCCTGTCCTCTGAAGCTGCCGTTTCCTCCAAGGGAACTGCAGTCTGGAGATCAACTGTCGCTCTGGGAGAACTCTCCAGGCCACACCTTATAAGGTTGGCAACCTTGACTGAAGAATGAAGGTAGGCAGCAGCAGAACCCCGTCACCCTCCTAAATATTGTTGAGGGTGCGGGGGAGTCTGCAAGCTGATATCTCCTCTAGAGAATCTTAACCTCCCAAGCTCTCTAGTTATGCCTGCAACAGGCCGAGAGCACACTTTGCCGCGCACGTTTCTCATTCTGGTTCATTCCGCCCCTGCCGCGGAGGGGTCATCTCTGGCGGAGGGCGAGAAGAAAGGTCACCTTCCCATTACCCTTTCCGGCATACGGCCCCCTCGGTGGAGGAGAGAGGTCACTTTGCTGATGGCCGTGGTGGCGCAGGTGAGGAAGGGATTGTAGGTTTTGTGCCTCAATCGGAATCTTCCGCGCGTCTCCTTTACAAATGCCGGCACGGCTGCCGGTTTTCTGTCCCTAGAAGAGCTCGTGCTCTAGATGCTGTTGTAAACTTCACTTTGCACCCCGGCGTGTGTGTGTGTGTGTTTGTTTGTGTGGTGCGTATGTGTCGGGGGAGCACCTGAAGCAGTTGTGCAGCGCGGGCAGACAACAGCCAGACGAAAGGGAATGCATAGAAGCCAACCTCCGTGTGTCTGAAGAAGGGTAGTTCAGCAGTCTTGTGACGGGGTGTGTGTGTGTTAAACTTCCCCTGCTGTGTTTCTAGCCATGTCTGATCCCTCTCTGTTGCGTCCTCCCTTTGGAATCTTCTCGGCACCTCAGGAAAAACACACCGCTTTGGTTGCCAAGCAGCAGTAGTTGCCTCTGAGCCGAACAGCAAACGGACACCAGCTTACAGGAGCCTAGAAATTATTGACTCGAGGAAACGGTCCGTTTTGCATGTACCCTGCATGACAAGTGTGGAGCAAGGGATGAGGGTGGGGAGGCTGGTCTTCCCCACCCCCCACCCACTCACAGAGGACAACCTGGCAGGCGGAAGTTAATTAGCTTGTGGGGCAGAGCAGCTGCTGAGCCAAGTTAAACCTAATGTGAGTAGGCCTGCCCTGGCGTGCCCAGTCCTTGGAGAAGTGTTCTCACTGGGTCGGGGGAAACCGTACATGTCAGCTCTCCTTCACCCATGGGTCTGTGCCATACATGTGTATGGGGAGGAACTGAAACAGTGGCTTCTCTATGGAACAGCAATGGGTGTTTCCCAGCTACCAGGGTAGCCTCACAATAACAAATCCTCTCAGGCAAAAGATAACTTATGAAGCAGCCCGGAATCCTTAGGGCTTTATCAATAGGTCAGTGTCAAGAGGGAGTAGGGTAAGGTTACCAGCCATGAGGTGGGGCCTGGAAATTTCCCAGAATTACAACTGATCTCTGACAGTTCCCTGGAGAAAATGGCTGCTTTGGAAGGTTTACTCTGTGGCATGATATCCTGTTGAGGATTATATCCTGTTGAGGAGAAAATGGCTGCTTTGGAAGGTGTACTCTGTGGCATGATATCCTGTTGAGGAGCCCTCCCCTCCTGAAACCCTCCCCTCCCCTGGCTCCACTCCCAAAATCTCCAGAATGGCATCCCTAATTGGGAGCCATGTTTGTTTGTTCACATGGCTGCCATATTTGCATATAAAATGGTGTGGGAGGGTGCAGAATGCTGTTTTACCATGAAAGACACGCAAGGGGAGCCGAACCCTCCCCTACTTTATGTTACTGGTCTCTTTCACGTCAGGCTCTTTTCGTTCAAGAAATGAATGAGGCTGGGAGAAAAGTACCTAAAACTTTAGGTTACTGGGATGTAGGAAAGGGGAGAGAGTTGAATATCCTTCACCCGCACAACCATTTTGAGGTAAAAATTTGCCCACGCCACCATGACAACCACCACTTTACCTGAGAATAGGGCAGAAGTATCAATAACAAAGATGGCTACCTTCTCACATCTGTTTTGGCCTTCACATACAACTTCGGTCAAGGCTGGCTCTTGGTAATAGGACAACAGAAGTGTGGAGTCCCATTTATCACACAATCCACAGTGTCAGATCACAAGCCTAGTTAGCCACAAATGTAAAATCCATTTCATAGAACCTCCCGTTGGCTTTTCCTGTGAAGGCTTCATTTCACCCCTCACAGACTCAACTGCAGAAAGTGAAGAGGAAGAGAAATCAAGGCCATCTTCTCCCCCCCCCCCCCCCGCCCCAGCACTAAAGTCATGTATTTTGGAAAGCTGTCTCTGGGACGCCAGCATAAGTGGAAATAAATTTCCCAGAGTGTATCCAAAGTTATTTATGATCCCTTATTTCCCAGTGCTGAGTCTGAGAGGTCCAAATGGTGTACAAAGCCCTCTGCTTTCAGTAGGGAAGGGACACTTATGTAGAAAGTAAACAAGAAGTTCTCACCATCTGTTGTAAGATAGTCTGGACATGTTTGTGGACTGGCAAAAGAACTCTTTTCATCTGTGCATGCAGAAAATGCACACGAAAAGAGTCCTGACCTGACCTTTCTCTAAAGTATGGCTGCCTTCCCCGAATGATAAATTAGAACCTCAAACTATAATTGGTTTAATTCATATATTAATTAGCTGAACTGGTTGTTGATCAATCCATGAAGGAAATGGTAGTGAGTTGGGCCACCAACTCAAGGGCAGACGTGTTTTCTTTTTCTTTTCTTTTTTTTAGATTAGTTTGTTTTTGCAAACAAAAATGAAAAAGAAAAAAAATCACATGTCGGCTATTTGACCAATGGTAGTTTTATTTCATAATTCGCAGGTTATTTTGCACATCCTTCAGTAGCTTTTTAAAAAAAAACAAAAATGGTGGTTGGTGATATTCAGATCCGTTTAATAACATTACTTGGTGTTGAATCAACTAACGAAAACTGTGGCTGACAACCCCCCCCTGTTATGCCTTATAGCTTGCTCTGCTTAAACGTGGGCATAGAAAAGCACGAAATGGATAGGAGAACAGCAACTTGGAGTAGGGCTGCCAAGTCCCCCCGGGGGGGCGGAACCCCGCCCCAGCGTGCACGTCACAGGGAAGTGACGTTATGACGCCGGGCACGCTGGGGGCGGGGCCACGGCCATACAAGGGAAAACTCTATGGTTTTCCCTTGTATGGTCGTGGCCCCAGCCCCAGCGTGCCCGGCGTCATAACGTCACTTCCCTGTGACGTGCATGCGGCGCGCGCGCCGGGATCCGCACAGGAGTCCCCCGCCGGCAAGGTAAGTGCCACTTGGCAACCCTAACTTAGAGGCCAATAAGATTTTCGGGGTGTAGCTTTTGAGTCTCAGATCCGACGTCAGATCTGACCAAGGGAGCTTGGGACACTCGAAAGCTCATACCCCGAAAATATTGCTGGTCTCCAAGATGCTGCGGGACTCTCATCTAGCTACTCTACTGAAGACCAACATGGCCTCCCTCTGAAACTGTGGACAGGAAAGTGATTCTAAATCACAATAACAAAGCCTGAATTGGTGACTTGCAATAACTGGGTGCAAAGTTGTCGGGGCTCTCAAATACACTGAGTCATGTTAGTCTATAATACGGTTGGCAGCTCTGGATTGGGAAATACCTGGAGATTTTGGGGGTGGAGCTTGGGGAGGGCGGGGCTTGGTGGTTGGAGGGAGAGCCAGTTTGGTGTAGTGGTTAAGTGCGCGGAATCTAATCTGGGAGAACCGGGTTTGTTTCCCCACTCCTCCACTTGCACCTGCTGGATGACCTTGGGCAAGCCATAGTTCTGATAAGAGCAGTCCTTGAAAAAGAGCAGTTCCTGTCAGCGCTCTCTCAGCCCCACATACCTCACAGGGTGTCTGTTGTGGGGAGGGGAAGGGAAAGGAGTTTGTAAGCCGCTCTGAGACTCCCTTGGGTAGTGAAGGGTGGGGTATAAATCCAATCTCCTCCTCCTCTCCACCTTAGCGGGATATAAAGCCATAGAATCCAACCTCCAAAGCAGCTGTTTTCTCCAGGGGAACTGATCTCTGTCATCTGGAGATCAAGTTGTCATCTGCAGATGAGTTGTGATAGCAGGAGACCACCCAGTGCTACCTGGAGGTTGGCAACCTTAGCCTGTTAAGGCGTGGCAGAATCATGACAAGAGTTTGATCTGTTGGCCTGTTCTGTTCAGAGGATCCAATTGGGTGGGGTGGGTGTGGGGGACAGGGAGTGCTAGACTCTCTCTAGGTCTCTGCATGGTGGCCTGCAGAAAAGAAAGAGTTTTGCTTGCCAACTTTTCTGTTCCGCTTCCCTTTCCCCTTAGGAATGCAAGCATGTTTTCCTCCCTGGTTTCTTTTCCACGATCCTGTCACAACCTCCCTCGTACTTTGCAATTAAACCTCTTGTCACTTGTTTTAAAGAATGTGATGTGTTTTGTCATCGCTTGACAAACAAGTGCCACGCCGAAACGAGACTGGGCTGATTAAGGGGAGGGAGCGGCGCAGGAGGGGCTGCTCTTACCAAATATAATGGCTATGAACAACATTTACATCCCTCTCCCCCCCCACATCCCACCCCGCCTAATTAATGAATTGCTTTAATTTGCCTGCTTGTCAAAAATCCAAATTGCCGTTCCACCCAGAGAGAAAGCTCGGTCACACTGACTTTGCCGAAGCCGCTTAAAACTCTCGAAAGCATGCGCGTGTGCGTGTATGTGTATGTGTGTGTATTTTCTTTATGTTAGCCTGCATGCCTCCCACCTAGCAACATTCTTCTGTCTCTCCCCTAGGGGGCACCCTTCTGCCAGGGAGCGAGCCCACAGTGGACACGGTGTCAGTGCAGCCCATTCCAGCCTACTGGTATTACGTTATGGCCGCCGGAGGTGCTGTTCTGGTGTTGGTCTCCGTCGCGCTGGCCCTGGTGCTCCACTACCACCGGTTCCGCTATGCGGCCAAGAAGAGCGATCACTCCATCACCTACAAAACTGCCCACTATGCCAACGGGGCGCCTTTGGCAGTGGAGCCCACCTTAACGATAAAACTAGAACGAGACCGCAGCTCGCACTGCTGAGAGTCGGAGCAGAAAACACAACAGACAAAATTTCTAAGACTTCAAAATACGTTGCCTCAATTTTTGCACTTTTTTCTCCTGACCCAGCATATATGTGAACTCTAGACATCTCTTCCCCCCCACCCCTGACCCTGTTGTTCTTTTACAAAACTCTTAACTATAATGCTGCATCTTGGATCGCCAGAAGAGACTCTTTGAAAGTGAATGCTCCTTTATTATTACTATTATTATTATTATTTTTCAAAGACTTATTTTTCCCCCCCAAAGTGGACAACTTGCAAGAAAATAGCAAGTCAGGAGGGGTATGCAAGAGTATATGTGTGCGTGCTTGTATATCTTTATCTATATATCTGTATGTAAGTGTGCATGTGTGGGTAACATCAGCTGAATGGCTATTCAAAAAGGTCCTTTGGAACTCGGTCGTACGGCTCCAACTTTCACAAGGCGTGCTTTTTTCCTCCCCTGCCTCGTGGGAAGACCTGGGAATACCTTTCTGGTGATGAATACCCCGATTTGTTTACTTGGAGAAGCGAACGATGCTTTTTGTTGCCTTATCTAGCTTTGGCTGGGTTTAGTCGGTATCGGCATGTATCCCGCCACTCTACCGAGCAACGTTTGAAGCCTTCCTCCAGCCCAAGGGGTCTTCATCCAGCTTTAGTGGCACTTTCTTTCTCCGATGGAATTGCTGCTTTGGCTGTCTGAAGGCTCCTTTGGCTGGAGAAACCTCCTCCAGCCTAAGGTAGGGTACATACCGATATCCTTACGAATGTCAGTGGGTTCATACTGGTGAAAAAGGAGAGGCTGTGCCAAAGGAAAATAAGAAATGGCATGTAAAAAAAAAAAAAGCCACAAGGGAGGATTAGAGGAGCCAAAAAAATTTTCTCCCCTAGGCATCACAAAAAACATAGCCATCGTTTTGGTAGTGGAATAAATCCCTCAAAAAAACAAAACACCAACCAAATCTTTGTCAAGTTGCCTTATAAAAGAAGAGTTCTTAACAAATGTTCCTTTTCTCTGTTCAACCCAGCCTTAGAGTAACGAGTAGACATTATTTGGTCAAAGGTTTAGAAAACACTGTAGCTCCATGCCTCTGAAGTTTAATGGTGCTTTCACACACACTGAATAATGCACTTTAGACCCGCTCCCAGCACACACTGCAACTGGATTTTACTATGCAAAACTGCAAAAAATCCACTTGCAAACAATTGCTAAAGTGCATCACAATTGGCTTGAAAGTGCATTTTCAGCCTGTGTGAAAGCGCTTTTCGTTTAACCGTGTGAGTAAACCTCACTCTTAGCGATGCCTTCTTTCCTTTCTGTTATTTGTGAGAAAGAGGAAATTCCTTCCTTGGATTTCTACCGGTAATTTGTCAGAGGCAAAGAACACTTTCCTCTTTGTTCTTCTCTCTCCAAGTTGACACGAATGTCTGACCGGCACACTTTATATTTGTGGTCATGTCGCTTCTTATGTCGTTGGTAATGACATCTATCAACCAAAGCCCCAAGAATTGGGCTTGCTAAAAATCCAGATATCTCTGCATCTTTTTAGCGAAGGAGGCATAATGGAGTCCGCGATAAGCCTCCCATCTATTGATTTGCTCTGAAGTAATGCAATGGAAATGCCTTGTATAGATTAGCCAGGGATAACACACAAAGGCGGCTGGAATGGTTCAATCAGATATACTTTTCAGGCCGCTGAATGTGATTTTCCAGTGTTGTTTGCTTCTGCTTCTTCTTCAAAAAAAAGCCCCCATCATGACCAGTTGTTCTACCCTTTTTTAAATCTCTAGCGACCCTTTGTCCCTCATGAAAAACAAAAGCTAAGGAAGTCACAGTAGTACTGTTACACTAAAGGGTAAAAAACCCAGGAGTTCTTTCCATCAGGGGCTTTCTCTTGCCCAAGTTCTGCTGAAATCAATGGGGCTTGTACAAAAATGTCAGGTGGGACAAGCTCCCGTGGAAGCAGAAACCCAAGGATGCGGTTTGTGAGTAACTTTCACAGTAAATCGGCTTGCCTCTGTTTCATCTTGTGTTTCCAGTTACGGAGGACATAGGGCAAGGTATACTTCAGTGCTTAGTCTTACAGTAGCTCTTGCGCAATAGGTTGGATCCAGTGGGACCCCTCCGTTTCCCCTTCATGAGTCCCCCAGAAGCAGTGTTTTAGGAGGCATTTCAGGTTGCTCTAATTATTTCAGCATGGACTCTAATCTGAGAGAACCGGGTTTGATTCCCCACTCCTCCACATGAAGCTGCTGGGTGACCTTGGGTCCGTCACAGTTCTCTCAGAGCTGTTCTCTCAAGAGCAGTTCTCTCAGAGCTCTCTCACCCCCAACTACCTCACTGGGTGTCTGTTGTGGGGAGGGGAAGGGATTGTAAGCTGCTCCGAGACTCCTTCGGGTAGTGAAGGGCGGGGTATAATTCCAAACTCCTCCCCCTCCTCCGCCTCTTCTTCTTCTTCTCCTCGTTCTTCTTCTCCTCCTCCTTCTTCTCCTGCTTTTTTTTCTTTTACTATGGAAGAGGTGAGGTGGGGAAGTTGTGCTTCCATGCGCAGGTGTTTTTTTTTTTTACTGGATCCAACCCAGACTCTTGTCCAAACAGAGCTGAGTAAAACATCTTTACTCCTATTGCGTTGTGGGGTCCAACTCAGTGGTACACCCCCACCCACACACACACAATCGCCATTGAGTTAATTGTGTGAGCTAAACTTCTGGTGGAAGGAATCCGACTTATACATAGGGTCAGCATGTGACATGAAAGAAACTGGAGGTCCTTGGCTAGTTCCCCAAAGGGACATATTGTCCGGGGACATCTGTCCCGTTCCCTCCACCCCGTGTTATTCAGGTAGCATGCTCTAGTGCATGTGGGAAATTTTAATTCGCCAAGGTGCTTGCTTAAGCCGAGTTAATGCCGCACAGTGCTGTTCAGTCAAGAAACTGTTCTTTTAAAGTGCAGAGTGCATACGAAACAAAATGAGCGTGTGTGTGTGTGTGTGTGTGTGTGCTGATAAACTGCATCTAGAAAGATGGGGTACAGGAGAATGAAGCAGTCGCCCATCTTGTTTCACAACATGGGGGGAGGGAAGGAGATTTTTTTTTTCTTTTTAGCAAGGTGGCTTTGTTCTATGCCAGGAGGTCATCAGGAAGTCAACTCTTAAAATGTGCTTTGTGGGTCCCGGGAAAGCTGTTTCCGGGGATGGAGATAATCTGTCTGCAAGCATCTTAATTTCTGTGATGCTAGTCCTCATGATAGGAAGACCCCCCCCCCAAAGTGAAAAAGAATCACAGGTAACGATGAACCTGATTCCCTTCACTGGGTTTCCCCACCACTGCCTCCCTCAGCAGTTATTTGTAAATACGGCCACTGAATATTTCAGATTTTGCCTTGCGTTAATTATGCTCAGTCTGGGTGTATTCAACCTTTGATCCTGTTTTTAGAAATTCGCCAAAGACTGCCGTTTGCCCACCCACCACCCGTTTTTACTGCCACCTTTCACCCCCCCCTTACAACTGTGACATCATCAGCATCGCCCAGTTGCCTGTGTGTGAAAATATCTTGTGGAATTTTGAAACTCTTGACGATGTATTGTGTGGAATGTAATAAAATGATGATATTTTTATACATATATCTGGTTGTTTTTTTCCTTGTCCCTTTTGGATTATGAGAATAGGAGTTATCTGGAGGAGAAAATGTATTTCCAAATTCGCTAAAAAAAAACACCCTAGCATTCTTTCATGGGGCAGGATGCCTTGAGTACATGGCGTAGGTGGGGCAGGGGTTGAGATCCAGAAACCCGCTTGGAGAAACCAAGCCGCTCAAGCTTTCTCCATTTTATCCCAAACTTGGCTAAAATTATTCTGTGGAAATGGAAACACAGACATGCAAGACAGGAAGCCAGTTGATGGCTAAGCGTATTTTGGAAGGGGTTTACGGTGCCATCTTAATAATGTTTTCTGTGGCATAAGCCCCATAAGCTGCGGTGGCTCAAGTGGTTAAGACGCTGAACTGTAGGCTGTGGAAGGTCAGTAGTTCAGCGGTTCAAGACCCGGGTGCCGCAAGACAGGGTGAGCTCCTGTTTCTAGTTCCAGCTCCTGCCAACCTAGCAGTTTGAAAGCAAGAAATTGCAAGTAGATAAATAGGGACCACTTTGGTGGGAAGGTAACAGCGTTCCGTGCGCCTTGGTGTTTAGTCATGCCGGCCACATGACCACGGAAATGTCTTCGGACAGCGCTGGCTCTTCGGCTTTGAAACGGAGATGAGCACCGCAACCCTAGAGTCGGACTCGACTGGCTTTCGAGCAAGGGAACCTTTACCTTTACCTTTAAGCCCCATTCAGTACACTGGTATAGGATTCTCAGGGGACCTGCTTAGAATTGCTCTCTTTGTATACGTGTGTGCGTGCACGCACAAGCACTGATTGGTTTTAACGTACTGATGAATTTCAGCTGACTGTATGAAACAGTTGTACTAAGGGTCACTTTGGGGTCCACGAGGGCCCCAAAACAGTGGTAGAAATACTAGAATAAACATTATCTTTCTTTTTTTTTAATTCACAATTTATTAATTTCTGTAGTGAACAATAACACAGAATATTAATCTTATTTTCCAACAACCTATTATATTATTCATCCCGGAACTTATTTATAATAGGAAGTGTTCTCAAACTAATCGACTAACTCCTGTTGTACCTAATTACTAAACAAGAATCACTTCCTATTCTGAATCCTGTTATCTTATACCACCCATTAAATGTAGTTCCATTCAGTTTCCGAAGTTCTTTTTCCATGTCCGCATTAGTTACTATACATATATCTACATACTAACTTACATTGGACTTTCTTCAGTTTACTGTTTACTATAACATACTTCCAATTTACTTTATTCTTTATGTTATTTACTTTACTTTATTTACTTTATTCACGCAGACCACCGCTTTATCCCCTGTGCAGTTCCTGAGAGTCGATTGATTGCCTCTGCTGGGGGGACAGGGGACTCAGGGCTGTGGCAGAAGGGGGGGAGCAGAGTTACAGAGGGTATTGGAGGGGCCCTCAGTACGGCAACTGTGCAAGCTTCATTTGCACCAGGGATTGCAAAAAAAAACCCCACCCCCTCAATGGTTTTCTTTTAAGGCTGCTGAAATACGACAGGACATTAATAAGAGCATCTGTGACCACGTATAGAGTATTTCCCCTTCACTTCCTAGTAATCGAGGCCAGCCCTCCACTTCTGGAATGGGAGCGGTAGGAAGGGCTTCCAAGTCCCAGGCTAGGGTGGGTCTGAGTCCCGGATCCTCTCGTTTCAGAAATCTGCGTCCTGCCTGTTTGTATTGGTCCTGTTCTGCCGACTAATCCCATTAATGCAGAAGGTTTGGGTTTTAATTGCCGCTCCCCCCTGCCCCTTCCCCGGTTTTCCTTTTCTGTCACTGCTTGTTAGGGATGTAATCATCTCGATCAGCTTGGCCAACTCATATGATTCGTTTGGGATTTTGCTAGAGTGTTCTGCTGCTGATTGTGATTATACCAGAGGTCTCAGGGGGCAGACCCAGGAGGCGAGCCACGGCATTTCAGAACGTCCCAAAGGATTCTGGATAGCTCCGCTATAGCAAAACAAAGGGAAGGGCTGTCGTTCAAAAAGCACATTCCGGGAAAAAACCTTCCCTCATTAGGGAGGGTATCTGGTCAGCTTGCCCAGTAGATAGATGCTTTTGAAAAATTAGCTTAGCCTCAGTGCTATTTCCATAAATTTGAAGGAACTTACATGCCAGATACATGGTGTCGTTTTGATTTTTAAGAAACTTTTATTTTATTTTATCATGGCTGCGGGGGGGATGATTCTCAAGGGGGGGGGGTTGCGCATCCCTGTTCAAAGCATGAAGGGTCCTTCTTTTAGGGTAGGTGGTTGGAATCGATACATTTCAGACACGGCCCAGGAGCCGCCCCTCCCCCCTTTCATTCTGTGCTCAAAACGGATTACGATGGTGTAGCTCGTTGCAATAATCTGTAATTAAAATGGTATTTGTCTAAGACTGTGAACTGGTTATTGAATCGATCATACGTTTCTTTTTTTTAATTGTCAGTAAATTAACGCAAACGTACTTGTTTCAAAGCAGGTAGAATTTTACAGATTTGAGGAACTTCTCCATAGAGGTTCTTTCGAAAAGAAGAAGGGGGAGGGGGTGTTAGATAATCAGAAGCTTCAGTCCCACCTTGGGTTGCTGGTTCCCCCTGGCCCACTGGCTGGGCATGGCGAGGTAGGGTTGCCAGGTAGAGGTTGGGAAACTCCCAGAGATTTGGGGGTGGAGCCTGGGGAGTGCAGGGATCTCAGTGGGATCACAATGCCATGGAGTTTACCCTAGTCCAGAGCAGTGTTCCCTCTAAGCTGAGTTAGTGTGAGCTAGCTCACAGTTTTTTAGCCTCCGGCTCACACCTTTTTGTCTTCGCTCAGGAAGGAGGGCTCCAGAGCAAACTCATTTATGCAGCAGCCAAATCGCTCGCTCGCAACTCGAATGCCAGGAGCCCACAAAGCAGAATTGTTGCTTACAAGACTCCGCAGCTTCGAGGGAGCATTGGTGGACAGAGTACTGAATTCTAGATGTCGGGAAGCCACTTGAGACAAGCAACTGGCTGGATGGCCTTGCACGTCAGACCCGCTCAGCATAATTCACTTTGTGGTTTGTTGTGATTACAATATAACCCCATTTCACCATTTTGAACTCTTTGGAACGAGCATTGGTCCATAGCTGCCATTTTCTCCAGGGGAACTGATCTCCGTAGTCTGGATATGAGCTGTAATTCGGGGTGTGTGTGATTCCCAGGCCCTCCCTGAAGACTGGCATCCCTAGGGCTCCTTCCACCAGAAGGGGTTGATGCCTTCCCCACTAATCTCCATGACAGGCG